CACTTTTCACTCTACTAACGCACTTCTTTGAAAAATTGCTCTCTTGCTGTCTGAAGTTTTCACCTCGGTTTTCACCCACAGGATGGCAATTTAGCTCAATTTTTTCGTGTATTGCTAGACAACAACCATATCAGCTTGATTGACAATGTCAAAATTAGGTAGTGGGTATCTGAACCACTTACAGATTTTCTGATTCTTTAAGGCATAGATGAATAATAAATTAACAACTTGTCATGTTTTTTCTACACTTTTCATAGTGGCAGATATTCACCAGCTTTTTCTGGGGATTCGTGGAGTGGCAAGGTTTTCAATTAAAAAATGTGGCACTATTTCAAGGAGATGTTGTTCATCTGTTAATGCTAGATATTGCAAAAGAGGTAATCCTACGACAAGAAAGTATTAAATACCAACCTAATTATTTGTTAAAACAAAAAAATACCTCACTAGAAGGATAGTATCAAACATTTGAGAGATTCAACGATTCAATATGGTAGAGTACTCGAGAATATATATAACTGATGCGCTAGTATTTCAGATACTTGCTGCTTTACACTCACTCGTAGGATCCTATCAGGGGGTACTGATTCTAATGTAGCTATATATGTCTCAACCAAGTGCTTGTAGAGTATATCAAATTGACGTTAAAAAGGCAGGAATATAGCAATCATCAATGAAATACTAGATGAAATACTAACTTCTCAGCTTTATTTATATATACCACTGAGTGGAAATGTGAAAAACTAATCACTTTGATAAATGTTGTTTTTATAGAATACCAAATAAGAATAGTGGAAAATCTGGAGTGGGTAAAACTGTTTTTAATAACAACCTCACTAATTTAACCACCCTATATTAAACACTCCTTACAGAATCGGACCGAATATCTCTTGAAGCAGTTTCTAGAAGCACAAAGCTTCCGACTTGCAACCGAGAAAATGAAGTATTTTTCGGCTATGCACTCCGAAATGCGATGTGATAAATAATAAAATCGATTGATTGATAATAATGTCATGTAAATACGGTCAAAACGGTCTCACTATGTATAATATACCTACTCAAATTTTGATATATTGAAGAGAGTTGTTAGACACTAAATCTGTCTTGCAATCAGGCCCGGACCCTGTTGCTACTACGCCCCTGAGCTCTTCTATTTATTTACATAGGCCATTTTCGAACAAATAGGCCTTAGCCTTCAGGGCTATCTGACAACATTCGGAGACTTATTTCGACTTTGAAATAGACCACACGCTCTAGTAATGCCAACTGGTGTGAATGTAAATGTTACCTCCATTGGAAGGGAATCTCGAAGGGAATATTCTCAGATATATTAATAAACACAAAAAAATTGGTATACAGTGTGTCCATCTTAAGGACTTACCACCCCTGTAAAATTGTTATTATCTGACCGATTTCAAAAAACTTGTTCTTGTTGGATAGGTATTTGAAATGTCCATCCAACAAGAAAGTGATTTTACTCATGAACTGTCATCGTGGCCAACTGCGACCAACTTTATTGACTCATATTTGAGAAAGTACTATTAGGGATTTTTTTTTTCACAAAAAACAATGATGGATTCTGAATCAAGATCACTTGAAAAACACCTTTACTGATTTTTATCATCATAAAACACAGGGTGTCCGAAAAAATGAATTATGTTTTTTTAATAGGTGATCAGAAAATGTAGTAGTGTGGTCGAGAGTGTGGTATTTTTGAGAAGAATTGATGACACATTATTATTGAGGATCACTTTGAACATATCTGTACCGATTTTCATCATTCAAGAATACGATGTGTATGAGAAAACAATTGAAAAGAAAAAGTAGGCAATATTTTTTCATCAACTCAAAAAAAATATTAATTTGATTTTTCGAACACCCTGTGTTTAATGATGATGAAAATCGGTACAGGTATGTACCAACTGATCCTGACTCATCGTTTTATTTTGAGTGAAGAATTATCAGGATGAAAAATATTGCTTACCTATCCTTTTTAATTTTTTTTTCTCAGACACATTGTATATTCAAATGACGAAAATTGGTACAGGTATATTTGAAATAATCCTCAATGATAATTTGTGATTATTTATTTCTGGAAAAACCACAGAACTACATTTGCTGATCACCTATTTGAAGAAAATGATGATTCGTTTTTTCGGACACCCTGTGTTTTATGATGATGAAAATCGGTACAGGTATATTTCAAGTGGTAATGATTCAGAATCCATCATCAAGTTTCGTGGAAAAAAAACCCTAATAGTACTTTCTGGAATATGGGTCATTGAAATTTGTCGCAGTTGGCCACGATAACAGTCCAAGAATTAGAGTACTATCTCGTTGCATGGGCATTTCAAATACCTATCCAACAAAAACAAGTTTTATGAAATTGGTCGAATAATAACGATTTTACAGTGGTGGTGAGTCCTTAAGGTGGACACACTGTATATAAAGAAATACATTGAGAATTCACATTCTCCATGTGATGGAAATATTAATTCATTGTTAAAAAAAAATCCTCATAAATTACATTGTAAAAATTATGAGTCGGTTTTGTACTTTTGGTGTTTGGTGAGGCACTGTTGTAGTGGCTCGATCCGTACATTGTAGTGATGTTAACCTCGGGGGTTATAATTCATAATCTAGATGAAAATACCATCACAATAAGAAATCAATAGAGAGGGGTCTATTGATTTCTTATTGTGAATTTAGAATTTTAGTGGTTAGTATCACCTCCCCCCCCCTTGATCAGGAAGTGAAACTGGCAAGAAAAATTCCTCCTGAAATCAACTATTTTTAGTTTTTAAATGGCCACCTTGTATAGGTAGTAAAGTAAGTCTAATGTAATATATTCATTTCACTTGATTATTTGGGATTTTTTCTTTTTGTTTCTACAAAATGAAAATATAGGTATTATCTCAATATACATAATGTGTAGTAGGACAAATCAAAATGAACACTGCGTTCAACAAATGTTTCTATCAGGAAGCCTAGAAGAAAAATTCAATAGTCTCTCAGTGACACTTTGTTTTACTTAGTTTTGGACGTTTCGGGAACGAATCTGCTACCGTTTCCAACATAAAAATGCAAAACACTTCCCTTCGAAAATTCTGTTCTAGTTTGACATTCCTGTGTCATACTGATTACTGATGTTGACATATGGAAGAGAGATGATGTTAGTATATAGATGAGTTACAGGATATTTTCATTAATTGATCTTGAATCGAGTCTCAAATCTACCATTTACCCAGACAGCACTGGATATTCCTAGAATATTCTCTAAATATGCTAAATGAGGAGAATATATTCCGAATATTTTTCGAATATTCTTAGAATATATTTGTGCCTCTGGAATATTCAAAGAATATTCAGATGTGAATATTCTAGTATATTCCAGAAGGAATATTCTAAACTGTATATTCCTAAAATATTCCAGTTGGATAGTGCAGAGAATATTCAGGTATGAATATTCCAGGAATATTCCCATCTGAATATTCTGTTCCTGTATATTCATGGAATATTCCAATAATGTTCCCATGTGTTTCAATGAAATTGTAAAGTATGGAAATCAACCAATCACTATTTTTCAGATGTGAGTCATTAATTTTGAAATCGTATTTCAAAGTAAAGTGATTATATTACCAGGGATCAAAAACACAAAGTCGTCTCCACAATTTTGATAGGTAGTGATCAAAGTACTCAAAGATATTATCTGAATATTCCTAGAATATTATAGGTACATTCTGGATCAATAGGGAATATTCCGTGTGTAATATTCCGGGAATATATAAAATTTGCCCCACCAGCACATTCAGGGAATATTCGATAGATGATATGTATATCCCTGCCATGTTCATGAATATTCGCAATATCCAAAAAAGATATTCTATGAATATCCATGGAATATCTGGTGCTGTGTGGGTACATGTTCAGTTTTCAGTAGTGAATACCAAGTTCTATGTATATCAACTGAACAAGAAGCAATGCTTTTGTCTCCATTCAGAAGTAGTAAATATTCGATATTTTCTCAATATATCTATATTTCTTCTCTCCAAACTATTTTCCAAAGTGTTACTGATAGGCTCCCTGCTAGAAAAAAAATTTTAAAAGCATGGGGCAAATCATCTGATTTGTCCTACTACACATATCGAAATAATATTCATATTTTTATTTTGTAGGAACTAGGGGAGAAAATCCCAAATAATCAGGGAAAATGAATGTAACACCTTCTTGATTTACCTACAGACAGTATTCAATGTAATTTATGTTACTATAGGTACTAGGAACTCGACAAGCAATTTCTATAAACGTCTCAGAAGCAATTGCAAGAAGTTATTTTGAACCTTTGTTATGAATGTTATAGCCTTCAAGTTCAGTTAGGTATTGGGACAATTCAGGTAATCAACAATTCACATTAAACAATTCGATGCGCTGCGTTGAACATTTTAGTGATATATATTTTTCAAATCTCAATTTGAAGTAACCATTCGATCAGCATTTTTCACTGAATGAAATTCTGAAAAAACATTGATGATGGCTAAAACAAGGTCGAAACACACTCCGTATAATACATGGTTATTTTCAGGATGAAAAAACTCCTAGAATCAGTGAGCACATATCAGAGGTCCGTATTTCCAAAAAATAAGTTGATGGGTCTCTACGAATACGAATCGTCTCATCACCCTGTTAAATCTCATCAAAACATTGAATATTATTTCATGTTTTTCTGTAGGTACAATAATGGAGAAAAAAGATCATCCAAAAATTTACTTTTTTGATATACTTAACTGAAAAACTATGGATAATTTAGAAAATTTTCAAAGGCTGTTGGAATGACCCGAATGCGCCACTTTTCTCTTTCTGTGCAACCTTATCTTGGCCACACTATATATATATAATATATTTTGACACCCCTAATAAATTATTGATGCGGACTCAGTGAATCGCTAATTTTCTTATCAACCCTATTGACTTATTCCATCATTCTAGTATATACTTATACTTACGAAATCAATGTCACTTTAATTCATAAAATTCCCAAAAACTTTCAACTTAACGGATTTTCGACGAGTTTTTGAACCGGTTTCTGACGACCAACGACCGTTTTTCCCGCGTTTCGAATTCGCACTGAACTTGAGCAATTCGATACCAATGATATCTACCATAATATTACTTTCATCCGAATCCGATTTACATGCCCCACCGCCCATTGGCGTGTTCATGGGAAAGTCTAGGGGGGTACCGTCCCCCCTGCTCCATAAAAGTGTGGTGGTACCGATAGAAGTGTTCAACAATGTTTTTTTCATCGCTGGGAGCGCACGAAAGAACATCGTGCGATTCAAAATAAGCGACATGCCCTCTTTCGGATATTCAAGTGACTGATGGAATGTACATTGAATATTAGTTTGTTCAAGTTTCAGTGCATTCCCCAGTTAAGTGGGTATCTTGAATCATTATTGCTCGGTTTCTCATATTATTCATGAAAGTTTCCTCACTGCACAACACAGATAATTGCAATTAATGAATAATAGAAAGATTTCCTCTCAACTTCGAGAATGAATTCGGTTGCATTTTATTCCCAGAAATGGAAAGTTACAGTAGGAATTCGAACGGATGAAATCCTTACTCAAAAGCAAAAAGCACATAATAATGTTCATTGTTTCCTATACTAGGTAGATCAATTATTTGCAAATACATCTAGCTTTGAGAACTTTTCCTCTTTCATGAACACAAATGTAGATGCAAAATATCTATACTCTGTGAACTTCAACATAATATTCACTCCACCTAATCGAATATTTTACTACTGAATGGGAACGAAATGCAAACTTGGGGCATTATTCTTCACCGAATCTCATGTATTTGAAGTACGAATATAAGCTGAAAACCTCCTCGAATGAAAAGAGAACCTATACACGAATGAAAAGGACCAAAAGTGAAGTTTTCTTTGCTCAAATCACTACAAAAAATCTAAATAATACACACAAGCAAATGAGACATTTCAAAACAATGTACTTTCGCCACATTGGCGCTGTGATCTTGAATTCAGTCGCCTATAGTTCTTTTTTCAGAAGAACCTTGGGAGAAATACTTACTGATCGATGAATTGTACAAATATATCATTTCATGAGCTATCAAAAAAATAAATGGTTTTTTTAAATCTTGAAGCGCTCGAAAGGAAATTCCTATAATGTTCCAAAAACATAGTGCGTGGAATAATTTTCATTATTTGCATATGTGAATACTTCCATTGGCTTTTATAGATATAGCCAAATTGAAAAAACAGTAGATAATTAATCTATAACCCACTAAACATGTATTATTACAAAATATTGCCCCAATATTGTAGAGCTTTCTTCTGTAATATGAAAATAGAATATTGTATCAATTTTGCTGCTATATTCGTGTTGACAATATAAGAGCAGAACCTACTGACAAATTGTTTTTGAGTTACAAAGTGACCCTTTTATTGTAGTTTCAATAGCAATAGTGCATCAACATATAAAATATATATTTGAATTAAAATAACAACATCATATGGACTGTCTACGAACAATATTAGTACAAGTACAACGTTACATATAGAACTATCTTCGAATTCTTAATTGTAATGTTGCATTAAAATTGATAATTCATTGAGTTTGTAAATAACATAAGCTAACTACGAACAATATTGCTACAACTAATGTGATGCAACACATAGTGATTGAGAATTGTAATATATCTGATATATACAAAATGCTTCATTGTGTATCGATCGAGAGACGCCATTTTCTGGAATGCCTACGCGCAGTCGCAGATACTTGCATTCGACAAACGCCACCAGCATCTCAGTAGCAATATTTGATGATCTTTGGCTTCGTGAGAGGTATTTTGTTGTTGTACACGTCCAAATGGCATTAAATACCAATAAATTTACTTTGAAACACGAATTGAAGTACAGTGGTGATCTGGCGATATGTGATATTATGCAGTTGGGAAGGTTTTATAGTTGCAGTTAGGATGCCTGATGGTTAGGTGAGTCATCAGTTATTTATTGTAGATTAGGTATAACTTTAACAAATTTATACACCGTTTGATCCATGCGGATCGGTCGATCGATAATGAAGAATATAGAGTGTTGATAATTAATTGTATATCTGCCTATAGTTAGTTAAAGGACAAACTTGTGAATTCCTTTTTTTTTAGTGAGCAGTCAAAGTAACACAAATTGTATACCTACTCTTTTTTTGTTTCTGTTACAGCATACAAAAATCCATGAATCATTAAAAGTAATATGAAGTCGATCTTTTTGATTACTAAAACACTCACGGAAATTGAGGTTTTGTGTATAACTCATTGTGATCGAAGAACTATATACTATTACAATCACCGCTCAAATCATCAAATCTTATCTCTCATCTTTTTGTCGTACTTAGCTACTGTATAGAAAACTTGAGCTCGCACTCACAATTCATTAGAAAACAACCTCAAATATTTTTCTTCAGAATATTCATATCATCTGGTATATGAACATCTCTCTAGTGAGTCTAGTGTATATTATAATAACGATACGCTCAGCATATCATTGATATTCATATGAGATATCAATGGATTATTGTAGAAATGGTTATTCTCATGGTCCACAGAATTATCAGAAAATCATTGATACTCAATTGGGGGTCTAGAGAATGTTTTGAACATTTGAAAATGAATATTTTCAGAATCAAATATACGATCCTCAACTTTCAAGTTTGACCGATAGATGAACTAAAAGGTAGGTAGATTCCTGATTATTTCATTTCATTGTTCTTCTCTTTGTTCCAGGTTCTTGTGCAGTGCCTAAGCCGTAGCACCGTTATCGAAAACATTTTGAGAATTGCTCCATTGACTAATGAATTATGAAATAGTCGACACGATTAATCGATTATTAGAAAATCGCTGCGCTATGTATAATTAATAACATAAAATATGTAATTTTCCAATATTTTTTTATTCAAGGTCGTCAGTAACCTTGATGAAATATTACTTGAATAATTCATTCGAAAACATCACATTTATAATATTGCTGAACGTCCGTTTTAGTAGTTGCTGCGACCTTGCAGTAAGATAGTGACAATATTTGATGTAACGCATCACATTGTAATATTGCTGCAATATTGTTGTGATATCACTTTGCTTAGTGAAAAAGGTATTTTGATAAATACACAAAATAGAAAATACTGATTACGGAGGTGCTGATATTGTCTTTGTCGTATATTTATCATCACAATTTTACCTTTTTATTGCGTGTTTTTCAGTGTTTTCTATTTTCTGTAACCGTTCAGTAGGTTCCCTGTCCGGAAATTACATTTCATACGAGTTCTTGGTGCAAGACACTACCGTGTTTCTGGATGTGACTATTCTAATACCATACAAGTAAACTTGGTGAAAGACATGTCTCTAGATGTGAAAATGGAACAAAACTACTGAATTATGCTATTGTCATCGGTCCTTTACTAAGTGTGCAAAGTTTCAATTTGATTCGACGTCTTCAAGTGGGTCATAATCACTCGTCTCTCTGGATTTAACTTGTACTTGGTGCGCCGTGTGGCGGTCGAATTAGAATAGCCCCACGATATGTCCTGCCAGTCGTAGAAGGCCACTAAAAGGACGAAAATAAGTGGGAGATGGCTAACACCATTGCCCGGTGCGATACCACCACATCAACCATAGGCACTGTGAAATGGGTTGGGTGGTTTGATTCCAGCCAACCCAACTCAATCCAATTTCATCTTCCTCTCACGCCAACCTCCCTTTTCGATGAAGAAGAAAGCGATGATGATTTCTCCTGATGTAAAATCATCCGGAAGTGTATTACCTCTCCATTCGGATTTCTGGGCGAGAGGTGCTAGAGAGGGTTCGCCATCGGCTGAAAAAGTCTTCGACATAGACCTATGTAACATTCGTGGTCTAAGCAAGAACATCAACGATGTCCATCAGACATATTAGCCCTGACTGCGACACAAGTAAATTCATCCACCAATATGAGCCATATTTTTTGTCCTGGGTACGGACTCCACACACGCTTCAGGTTCAAGGACGGTCTCTGCCTCTATTCTGAAACGAATCTCTCGTCTTTGAGAAAAAACTTCATAACCAATCAAGTTCGATGTTATGTGGTTCAAACTCTATAGCCATAAACATACTGAATATCTATGTTGTCTCTACTTTTTTGAATTGACTTGCCGTTACTTGATGGAAATCCATGACAAATGTAAAAACTTCACAAACGATAATAAGATTTCCACAAAATTTTGTGGAAATCTTATCGTTTGTGAAGTTTTTACATTTGTCTCTACTTATCACCAAATGATCCATCCTTTGAAGAACTCTTCAAGTTCTTATCCCTGAAGCTCGACTTGATTCAGCAGAACCATCCAGCAGCCGAAATCATTATTATGGGCGATTTCAATGTATACAACACTGCCTTTGGCCACTCTAACAAAACAGATGAAGCTGGGCGACAAAACGAAGCTTTCGCCATCACTCACGGCTTGGAGCAGCTTATCAATACTAACACTATAATTATTCCTCACTGATAATCCAGTACCTTACACCATAGAAGTACAAGCACCACTTGGAAATTCTGATCACACACTCATCTCCACAACCTGTCCATTCCTCATTACATCAACTACTCCAGCACCCCCAAGTCATGTATGGCATTATAACACAGGAGACTGGGACAGTATCCACATGTTCGTCTCCGAGTTTCCTGGGCATAGAATGCTTTGATTCTGAGGATCCTTCACACTCTGTCGCGGAAATATCCGAGATCATCACGCTTGGAATGGACAAATACATACCTCATTCTTCGAAACCCTGATTCAACTAGACATGTTCTAGCGTTGTTGCAAGATACCAAACCTCGTGACTAGAACAGATTATGTTGAAACAAGGAATAACTGCAACAAAACGATAGATGCATCAAAAAAATCATACAATGCAAAAATAAGATCAAAACTAACAGATTGTCTCAATGGCTGCCGTTCATTTTGATCCCTTGCTAAAGCAGTCGGAAGGAATTCCAATAATAGTCGATTTCCATCACTCTCAGTGCCAACGGCACATAAGCAATAAGATCGCAAGAGAACTA